CCATACTGCCTGTCTTCTCACCAAACTGGCATGTGCCACACACAGAGGCTACCTGTGTCACTTGTGGCATCTGTTCCACATGTTGGACACCCCCACTCCTCCCCGTTACAGTTATGGTAGTGTGCAAGTGATGTTGTAGCCATGATGGTCCAGAAATTATACAAGAGGCAAGCATTTCTTAGGGTGACGTCTTGCATTTGAAAGCATGCTGAGATTTTAATGCCATTGTTGGGAAGAGATGAGAGCGCCAGATTTCTAAGTCATGTATGAAAAAACCCATTTGACTCAAATATCTGCTGCCAAGATGTTGAAAATATTTTGATTTCCAATTTAATATGTGTTAAATGTATCTGTCAAAAGAACATTACAGGCACACAGGCTATTTTAAATAAAATAACTAGGGTAGACCTAGATTAAATAGAAAATGTTGTCATAAAAAACCCAAGCCATGTCATTAAAAACATACTTCCTCAGCCTAAAACCACAAAAAACACCAGACTCTTCAATGTGTCCCAAATGATAAGATATTTGCGATTATTATTAACTTGGGGGAATTCAAGATGTCCAGAGAACACAATTTTAAGTCCCAAACCTGAACATTTAGAGATGGTCAGGTACCATAGCCTTTTCATATGGTGCAATATGAAAAGGCAATCTCTCAAACATACAGAATCCAAAAGATGGAGGACTTTAAAGATAAAATTAATACTAGTGTATTTCAAGGTTCAAAGAACACTGGTAGACCTGGGAGAGCAAAGCATGCTCAGGAACAGCCCGAGTGGAACATGACCCTGTTCTGGTGTACACATGCAATAATGGAGTTTAGGAAATATATTGTTTTGGCTCAGTGAAGACCTCAGATTGAGAGCTGAACGTTGCCAATGTAATGATGACTTTACAATTCTAGATGCATCACTATTTAATGCATAGAGAAAACAGGGCACAGTGGCATCTTAGGGCATTTTTTATATATGGAAGCGCCGTAGCGCTGGGTGCTGTGAAAAGCACTCGGTGCTGTGTCGCTTGTAGTTGTATAGGCAGTAAAATGTGTGTTAGTGCTGAGAAAATGGTGGCAGCACACTTTTGATCTAACACACATAGAAGGTGTTTTAGTTTAAAAGCATACCACCACCATTTTCTGCGCGCTGACGTGCATTTCGCCAGTTATACAACTGCATGGGTTGCGACGTAGTTTACATCAGTTCACATGCGGAGCAGGCTCAATTAGTTGAGTCTGCTTCAAAGTGGTAGATCTCCGATGCATCGTGGGACAAAAAGATGTGTGTATAAATGCCCTTAGAGGCCACCTGGTTTGGAGAGGCCTGATCTTTTGCAGGCAACAACCTACTTAGTCTGTACGTAACGGCAATGCATTAGCATCTGACAGACATCTTCAAATTAACAAACTTCTATAATGGTCATTTGAGATAAGTCTTCCAACAAACAAGAAATTGCTGAACTGTAGGCCTCAAGGAAAAATAACAGAGCTGCTCTACTACAGGCATCTATCCATTAAAGAGATTGCAATTGTGTCAACAAAATTTATAACAGAACCAAATGTACTGGCAACATGGAAAAAAAAAAAAAAGGTCTTTTTTGGCATTTGCATCAACAGCACAAGCCAGATGTTTGTGTTCAGTATGGTATGAAGATTGCGTCCAGATTCTAAGAAGATTACACAGACCAGAAAAGATGGGTCTTGATTTTGACTGGCATGTGGGGAGCTCTAAACCAGTCATAGGTTGTCTTGGTTGGCCTTTACTATTAGTTTACATACTTATCTCCCCACCCATTTTTTAAGATGGGCTTACTTTTACATTTCCTGATCTCAACTATATATTTTCCTCTAAAGTTGCTGAAATGGATTTTCAACCTTAAAAATGCTGGCTTTAGAATTTCTTTAAGAAAGTAACATTTTCTTAAACATTTCAGAAATTGCTCTAGACAGAGCTAAACTCTCCACAAAATTAAATACTCCCAAAGGCTTTTTATTTCCTTCATCCTTGTCTGAGTGTATGAGAGGCTACTCTGATAAAAGTCTTAAAAAGCCTGCAAAACACTATCTGAATTTATTTGCCAAGAATAATATTAGACTGACATTATTTATTAATACTGTACATAGTATTCAAATTGTAAATAAATACATCTTCCCAAATTAGCCAAAAAGTTCAAGTCTTCACTAAACCCAACATTAGAGTTAGTCAATCTGTGGCCAAAAGAGGGCTTACTTGGTTTAACTAAGAACAAGCCAAGAGCCATTAGGAAACTTTCATAGAAATGACACTTAACTGCTCTTGCAAAAATTGCCCTTAACTGTCCCTAGAATAACCTATTTTGAGATAAGTTAATTTATGGACATCTTCATATGGATTTATTTTGTTATTATAAAGTTACAAGAAGCAAAACTAGGTTTTGCAACAGAAAGCAAGTTACAGCCTCAACGAGTCTGCCTCTGTAGCAGGGGACTCCTACCTCTGCTATTGGAGGTGAGCGAGTGCAATGCCACAGGGAAGCTAGCTGCAATGGAGTAAGCCTGTTAACAGGAGATAGTCAACAGGTATAGCTTGTAAAAAAGGCAGGCCAAAGCAATAAAAGCCTGCTAATTAGGAAACTGGCCCTGAAGACTAGAGATCAGGTGACCAGAAGGGGAAGTGGAAAGGGCTATATAAGCCTATCCCAGGGCTAGAGTCTCACCCTGGCCCACATCCTGACCAGAGAAGCAGCTCTATAGGAAGCAGTACGCAGAGATAAATTATGTTTTCTTTTCCTTTGGGTTTGGGTTAATAGTGCCAGCAGGCCTGAGGAAAGGAGTAGAGTAAGTCTGCAAGGTTCAAGGTGACTATAGGGGAGGAGGAGATGGCCATAAGTGCTGTAAAGGAGGGTGCCAGTGAGGCACCTGACATTGTGGGACTGTGGTCCTAAAGGCAAAGCGCAGTGAGGATGAGCCAGGGGACCAGCACAGTAAGGCAGGCACCCAGAGGGGCTGGAACCCCCCAAAAAGCAGAGAGAGCGAGCCCTACTCAGGTTAGGGTATGAGAACTGGGTAGACTGGCAGCCTAGTGATGAGCAGGGTGAAACAAGGCACCAAAGGCTGAACGCTGGTTCTCTGAAGGTAGTTTCTTAAAATATGTTAATTTAAACATCACAGCAAGGGAGGTCAGAGGGTGAGGCCATATTGGGAGAGCTGGAGTAGGAGATGGGGTATAGTATGGCCACCAGGGGGTCCTCTGGCCACCCTGGGAAGCATTACCTATTACACGCTTCATAATGATTCACAAATATACCAAGGACAGAATTGATATGGCATTTAGGAAAAGGAACAGCCCTTTTAGACTTGCACAGAACTGGACAACATAACAGCAAGGGTCAATCACAATTTGAAATAAAACCTTTATGCTATTAAATAGTGAACCAAAATCTATCACTGATACTTCACTCATAATGCTAATAAGAATCATTCAATTAAATTGCGGTATGTGAACAATGCCACTGAATAATCACCAGTTTTAAACTGTTAGCATAAAACTGACCTAAATAGCTACATAACTCACCAAAAAAAATTGAAAAACTTCATTCAGGAACAACATTTAGGAACTATTTAGGAACTCCTAGGTAACAAAAAATTGGAATTGTAATATTTGTGTTCTCTTTCAATGGCTGAGCTTTTAAATGAAATGCATTACAAATTCAGAATCACATTTAGGAACAGAAATGCAGAGCAGATCAGTCAATATTTATACATCCTCTTTAGGGTATGCACTGAAAACTAGCACATTTGTATTTGTACTTGCTAAGAACTACTTCCATTATCATCTTACCGCTAACTGCTGCATGCTGCTTCAGATACTCCCGTCTCACATTTATGTTTTTCACAAGGCACTGCCGAGCATGAGCTCTCCTTTCCTTCACTGGATCTTTTGCACATAGTGCACAAATGGCCATATATTCAAGTGGTAATCGTAGTCTGGAAAGACCTTTGTGGAGCTTCTGAGCAAATATCTGTCTCACTTGATAACACTCATCCTAGGGGCCAGAGTGGGGAGGGGGAGAGGGAAAGAAAGAGCATAAAAATATTTAACTTGTCTAGATATAATACAAACCCCTAGAAGATGAGCATAAAATATGTGAACAAGGATATCAAGAACATCTTCAGCTTCTTCAGCAATAAAGGCCATCCTATCTTGGGGAGAGGGGAGTCTTTTTACAGAATTCAGTAGGATTCTAATGAATTCATCATGAATAGGAAATCCATTTCAGGGCAAAAGAAATGTTAAATATAGACTCCATGGTTGAATGAATTCCCAAAACATTATATCTTAATTCAAAGTATTCAGACATGTACCTAAGTAATGAAGCACCTGAGCACTGCCACTGGGACAGGAGCTGCTTGCTTAATTTTAAACACAATCTTAAGGGCTTTGCTTAACCAGGAGCTAAATAAGTACCCTCACTGAAATTATATAGCCTTTATTAGTAGCTTTAAAAAAAAACCTGCTTAGAGACATAGAAAACCGCCCCCCCCCGCCCAAAAGTAACCAGTGTTTTACTTTTAGCTCAACACACCCTTGCACAAAGCACAGCACACACCCAAAGGAGGGATCACTTGACCCAGCTCCTCAGTGTCTGTATAGCTCTTGGCAGACAAGGTTCTTTGGGTAAATCTGATTTTTATTAGACCAACTATTTAGTCTAATAGTTGCCCAGCTCTGATTCAGCTGCCAAAGGAGAAGGGGGCATGGCCCATACTGAATAAGCACTGATTTTTTTTCCCTCATCTGTCAGCACCCAATGTGAACATGGAAATTCATAACATTAAAACAGATTTTCATCAAGTCACTGGAAGTGGCTTAAAGACAGTAGTAACAGAAGTAGGACGAAGTTTCACAGAATACTTGTATTAGTCACTAAGTGTATTAGTCATTTCCAATTTGTGTTACTAATACAATTTGTGCTATTATAGCTGATGACAGGTTAACTCTAAGCCAGTGGTGATAAACTGCTTTTCCATGACAGCCTCTGAGGGCTGGATCTGGTCAGTGCCCCTATTCTGGCACCAAAGGTCAGTGCCACAGGGCCCAATCCAGCCATGCAGAGAGGGTAGGAGGCAGCCTGACTCTGATGATCCTGCTGCCTGCACAAGGGGGAGGCGTTTGTGTGTTGCGGGAGTAGTTCCTGCCCAGCCCAGCTCTGATTCAGCTGCCAAAGGAGAAGGGGGCATGGCCCAGCCCTGATTCTGTCACGCAGAAAGAAGGGGCTATGAGAATCTGGCATCAGGAGAGGGTGGCAGTATTAATGGTCACTGCTCCCCCACTGCAAAATTTATTGACCTAATGGGGAGCCCTGTGGGCCAGATGCAATGGCTTTGGCACAGGCCAAAGGTTAAGCACCCCTGTTGTAAGTCATTAATAAGAACACTTGAGAAAAATGCAAATGTAATCCTAAGATATATTGCCAAGGTATTTCCATTAGAAAGACAGAAATATCAATGTCATTGTACAGTACAAGGCACTGCTAAGACTTCATCTGGAATACTGAGTAAAATCCCAGCCAACCATGTTCAAGAAATATTAATTCAAACTGCAGCAGGAAGAGAGAAAGACTATTAAAGAAGATCTAGACCAGTGTTTTTCAACCTCTGCAGACTATGTCTAAGGGGTCTGCGAAGGATAACTATAATCAATAATAAATCTGAATACCCACACACTTACAATTCAAAGGGGTCTGGCACCTTCATTCAAAATTTCCAAAGGGGTTTGCAAATGAAAAAAGGTGGAAAACCACTGATCTAGACTATTAGGAGAGCCTCTCCTACAAGAGGAAGCTAAAAGTATAAAGCTAAATGAGCTTGATTTTTTTAGTCTAGAGCCCCCCCACCCAAAAGGCTGTGGGATAGGAAGAATACAACTGCTTGTTATTACTGCACTGTAGGCAGGATAGGGATGGAAGAGCAGTTGCAGGATACAGAGAGATGACTGAGTTTAATGGATTCTACATTGAAAAACTAAGGGCCCAGTCTTATTCCATCTATAACATGCCTAGGTGGCCATAAGTGCAATCCTAGGCCACTCTGAATCCCTGAAAAACAATTCAAAAAGTGGATGGGTCCTCCTTCTGCTTGCTTTTGTTTTACTTGGTCTTAAGGCTAAGATGATGATTCATTATAAAAAAAATAGACACCTTAACAGTTTTTCCAGGATCTGAGGAGGGTAAAATTCTATCACACATTGGCACATAGTAGGTGGGTGGAATAGGATCTAGCCTTAAGATCTCAGGATCATTTTTAAGAGTTATTTAGGTCAAGTTAAACAAATGTAATCTCCTGCATGGACATGTAAGCCAGTACAAGAATAACTTTTTCATCTTAATGTAAACCCCTTCCAAAGCAACATGAGCCAAACTTAAAAAGGCATTCTTATACCAGAAGAGTGTCCCCTGCAGGATTTATACTGGCTGAAGTCCATCAGTTTAAATTAACAAATTTGTTTTCACTCCTTACTAATATGTAAGCAACTTTGAGGAGTCCGAGTGGACTACAATTAGCAAGCCATTTTGGACTATTAATGCCAAGTTGGTATGTTTTCAATAATACATTGAAAGGGCAGGAAAATCTAGGTTTTTTGGTTTCTTACACTTGAGCCAGAGAAATATTTTAAGATGTGTGGGAGCTGCACTGCTGAAGCCATCCTAATAGTAAACCCATTACTGAGCATTTCCCTAATTTTACAAAAGCCTGAAAAGCAAAAGTGCTTTGCAGGCTTCCTAAGATAAGTAGGAGGGGACTTCAAATCTTCTAAAACTTCCTTTATTTTCTGCAAATACTACAACAGAAAAGAAGATTCCCCATCTCTATTGATATTCTAAATATGGCAATCTTCCTTTCCCTTGGACTTAAAAAATAAAAACAAAGGAAGTGACCTCCTCTCCCCACTGCAACTGTGACTTCCCCCTCCCATCTCATTCAGGGTGTTCAAGAAAACAACTTTCTTCTGTGGACTCTGAAGAATGACAACATGGAACTCCTGCAGAGACAAAGAATCAGTGGTCTTCATAAGGGTCAGCATAACCAAGGGTGTTGTTCTCACACTCCTAACTTCATTATCTAATTGGGATATGGGAAATAGAGAGGGGTTGGAAACCCGCGCCCCCAAAATCCATCTTCAGTGTGAAGGACCTTTAAATGATCTAACACTCTGTCCACTTGCTCTAGATCACTACCAGAGACTCCTTTATTGCATTTAGGTCACCCACTGAGGAAGCTAACATTTCAAATTGTGGATCTCATTCTTGCAAAAAAAATTGAAGACTTATCAGAATTACAGGGAAATATTATTATTATTTATAAGATTGAGGGCAAGGTAGAATTGGAGTCTCAAAATGTTCAGGACTTTAAATTAGGCCACAGGTTAGTAGTACATGTATGTAATTAACAGACACACATAAGCCATCTCCCGTCCCACCCAAGTTCAACCCCCCTTCAGCCCATTTTCTTACATTTATGGCTAATGCACACAGTTGATATTGTTCTAATGTGATGATTTCATGGTAACAGGGTTCCTGGGCCAGTTTCACAACAGCACTACCAGCAGCCAGCCTCAAGCGTGACATGTCAGGTTTACTGAAAAAGAGAGAGAGATGGGTTAAATCAGTGCAAAATTATTTAACACTATTTCCTTAATAGAATCAGCTCTCATCAGATTTCTGCTGCAAACTGTTTCTTCTCCATCATACAGAAAAATTACTACTGAGGAGAAAAGGAGGAATCAGCATGGCCTTTGCTTCTTTGTAGCTGTTATATGAAGAGAATTAGCTTTCAGATTCAGGACAATATAATTATAGCACATTAGAACATACCTATTTCCTCTGACATTTTTCTGCAGAACTAATGTGTCAAATATGATCTGTTCTGGGTGGAGGCTCTTCTGAGGCCTCCACCCAGACGGAGCTCATGGTGGAGTCGGTGGCCCCTTGCCCCCCTGTCTGCGGAGGGGGCTTGGCAGGGCCCTGGGCGGGGGTGGGGCCTGGTGGTCTCCCGGCCTGCCCCTCCTGTGCACGCCTTAGTGCCCTGGAGGAGCAGGTGGGTGAGCTCCAGGCTGCGGTGAGTAGGCTGAGGGGGATCAGGGAGGCAGAGGACGAAATTGATGCCTATTTCTGTTCCCTGCAGGCCCGGTCGCCCATGGTACAGCCCCCACAGGAGTCGCAGCCATCGCTGGAGTGGAAGATGGTGCCCAAATCTAGAGCTGCTAGGCAGAGAGCGGTGGAAGCCCCCCAGGTTCAGCTGGGGAACAGATTTGATGCCTTGGCAGCGGCGACGGATGAGGGCAGAGGGGTCGGCCCTGCAGGGGACGATGCCGCTCCACGCAAGACAGAGACTGGGAGGAGAGACAACACCAGGAGGAAAAAACGCCAGGTCCTAGTCATCGGGGACTCCCTGCTGCGAGGGCTGGAAGGTCCGATCTGCAGGCCCCAGGCCCGACCCTATGTCCCGGCAGGTCTGCGTCATGCCTGGGGCTCGGGTCAGGGACATCACGGAGAGTATCCCGGCCTGCATCCGGCCTGCAGACCGGTTCCCCATGGTTGTCGTCCATGTGGGTACAAACGACGCGGCAAGAGGCAACCCTGACCGTATTATGAGGGACTTCGAGGCTCTGGGGACCAGGCTGAAGGAGACGGGGGCGCAGGTGGTTTTTTCCTCTCTCCTTCCGGTGAGGGGGCGGGGACAGAGGCACGGGGCCGTGAAAAGATGCCTAGCAAGCTAAGTTTATGCCTCTTCTCTGTTACCGTGTGTGCTTAGCACTGCTACAGGTATCATTAAAGCTCTCCCTGAGTAGCACCAAGGGCCTAGAATGGTATAAACTCAAGTATATGCTCTGAGAACCTAATCAGCATGTGCATGCTGGTTTTGTCATTTGGATATTTGCATTGTAGGTATTTGCACAAGTGAATATTAAATTTGGTGGCATCACTTCTATAAGTTTGGTCAGACTTTCAGGTAACTACATGTAACCACATATAAAAAGTTACTTGTATGTAGTATACTATAGTTACTTTTTCTTCCTGTACATTACCTCTTCACTTAAAGCCATGTTCCTTATTCTGGCATGCCTGTGGGTATCAGGGGGGGGGGTGGGACTTTATGTCAAGGAGCACTACACATCCTCTGCCAGCAGTATGGGGTCAGGGGAAGGGCGAGCTGAAGTGCTCTGGGTCAAGATCCAGGGGGGGCAAGGCGAGAGGGATTTGACGGTGGGGGTCTATTACAGACCCCCCAATCAGGAGGAGGAGCTGGACAGGGAATTTTCAGGCCAGCTTGCGGAGACACTAAAAGCAAGGGATGTAGTTGTCATGGGCGATTTTAATTACCCGGACATCTGCTGGGAGGAGCAGTCAGCCGGGACGGACCGCTCCAGGAGGTTCTTGGCCGAGTTGCAGGACCTCCACTTGATTCAGGAGGTGCACAGTCCCACCAGAGGAGATGCTCTGCTGGACCTGGTCCTGGCCGCAGGCGACGACCTGGTAAGAGGCCTCCAGGTTCTTGACCACCTGGGCAATAGTGATCATCGCGTGCTGGAATTCACCATCCAGCGTAGAGTGTCAAGGGCCCGCAGCAAGGTGGTGGCCCTAGACTTCAGGAGGGCCAACTTCAGTGAGATGAGGAGATTAGTGGGAGAGGAACTGGGGTCCTTGAGGGCAGAGGAACTCAGCGTCCAAGAGGAGTGGTCGTTCCTTAAGGAAACGATACTCGGGGCCCAAGGGGTGTCCATCCCGACAAGAAGCAAGGCGGGCAGGAGTGTCCAAAAGCCCCCCTGGCTCACCAAGGGTGTCCGGGAATGCCTGCTTGCCAAAAGGGTGGCGTACGCCCGGTGGAAGGGGGGTGTAATCTCCAAAGAGGAGTATACCTCCTCTGCTCGGGCCTGCAGGCGGGCTGTTAGGAAGGCCAAGGCGGAGATAGAGCTCGGATTAGCGTCCAGGATTAAGGATAACAAAAAGTCCTTTTTCAAATATATTGGGAGGATGAAGAAGGCGCCGGGTAATGTGGGGCCCCTGCAGGATATGCGGGGCAATCTGGTGGTTGCGTCAGAGGATAAAGCGGACCTCTTTAACCAATTCTTCACCTCCGTTTTCTTGTGCAGGGACCGGGACTTCCCTGCTGTGATAGAAGCCGGACGCGAGGGGATCGCCTTCAGACCTCAGGTTGGGGAGGACCGGGTTAGAGAGCTTCTGGAGGGGCTGGACGCGTTCAAGTCAGCGGGTCCGGATGCTCTCCACCCCAGGGTGCTGAGGGAGCTGGCTGGGGTTATTGCAGGGCCCCTGGCACGGCTCTACGAGCGATCGTGGTGCTTGGGCCAGGTGCCAGACGATTGGAAGGTAGCTAATGTGGTCCCCATCTTCAAAAAAGGGAAAAGGGAGGACCCGGGCAATTATAGGCCCGTCAGTCTTACCTCAATCCTGGGGAAGCTCTTTGAGAAGATCATCAAGGAGCACATTTGTGATGGGCCGGCATCCGAGATGATGCTCAGGGGCAATCAGCATGGATTTATTAGGGGGAGATCATGTCAGACCAACCTGATTGCCTTTTATGATCAGGTCACAAAGGCCATGGATGCAGGTGTCGCGGTGGATGTAGTCTTTCTGGACTTCAGCAAGGCCTTTGACACCGTCTCTCACCCCATCCTAATTAATAAACTAGGCGACTGTGGCATAGATGCCTACACGGTCAGATGGATTGCAGATTGGCTGAAGGGTCGCACTCAGAGGGTGGTGGTGGATGGATCATACTCGACTTGGGGGGAGGTGGGTAGTGGAGTCCCCCAGGGCTCGGTCCTGGGGCCTGCGCTGTTCAATTTCTTCATCAGCGATCTTGATGTTGGGGTGGAGAGCAACCTGTTTAAATTCGCTGATGACACCAAAATTTGGGGGGAGGTGAGCACGCTAGCAGGGAGAGAGAGATTGCAGAAGGATCTGGATAGGTTACAGGGGTGGGCAGACAGGAACAGGATGCGTTTCAATACGGACAAGTGCAGGGTGCTGCACTTGGGTAGTAGGAACCAGCAGCACACTTATAAGATGGGGAGCTCCCTACTTGAGAGCACGGAGGCGGAAAGGGATCTTGGTGTCATTATTGACTCCAAGATGAACATGGGCCGACAATGCGAGGTCATGGTTGGCAGGGCTAACCGGACCTTGTCGTGCATCCACAGGTGCATCTCGAGTAGAGCCAGGGAGGTGATCCTCCCCCTCTATGCGACGCTGGTCAGGCCGCAGCTGGAGTATTGTGTCCAGTTCTGTGCGCCCCATTTCAGGAGGGATGTGGACAACATGGAGAGGGTCCAGAGGAGGGCCACCCGCATGATCCGGGGACAACAGGGCAGACCCTACAGTGAGAGACTGCGGGACTTGAACCTATTCAGCCTCCACAAGAGAAGGCTGAGGGGGGACCTGGTGACCGTCTATAAACTCACTAGGGGGAACCAGAAGGGTTTGGGGGAGACGCTGTTTCCCCTAGCCCCTGCTGGCATAACAAGGAATAATGGGCACAAGTTGATGGAGAGGAGGTACAGATTGGACATCCGAAAAAACTACTTCACAGTTAGGGCGGCTAGGAGCTGGAACCAACTTCCAAGGGAGGTGGTGCTGGCCCCTACCCTGGGGATCTTTAAGAAGAGGCTGGATACTTACCTGGCTGGACTCATTTGAGTCCCGTTTTTGTTTTTAGGGTGAGTGGTTTTGTTTGTGTTTTTGGGTTGTTCTCCCGCCCTGGCGGGGGGGCGGGCTAGAAGATCTATTAGGTCCCTTCCGACCCTGAAACTATGAAACTATGAAACTATGAAAAATTTGCCTGGAAATATAACCTTTTTGACTTACACATGTGTACTAACCTACGCTAGCAGGAACGCATCCCCTCCTGTTCTGTATTAGTGATCTATATACAGACCCCAAATTTCCCTATTCTATGAACCTACATGGATCTGATGAATCAAACCCACTTATTATTTTTGGGGTACTGCTAGTTGGTTTACTTCCATATCAAAGGATTTATTAGGAAAATAATCCTAATTTATTTGGATGGATTTATCCATCCAAAGGAAATATAGATGGATTTTTAGTATGTCAGGTGTTCCCACAGTTACGACACAGTATTTACTTACATTCCCTTCCCACCCACAAATCACCCTTCCAAATTGGGGTGCATGCCTTAAACAAGGAAGCTGATTTTCCTTTGCTGTAACAGAAGGCGGGAGAAAGAGCACAGCGTCTATATGCTTCTAATGGTTGCCAAGATGGCTGCCACTTTTCTTTGGCCCAGCAAGCAGAACGGGTGGAGTCCAGTATCAATCCTCTTATAGTCACTAACTGAAGAACTGAGCTGGCTCAGGACAAATTAGTTGCTGCATGAAGAGAATCCTAATGAGGCTTGCAGTATGGAAACAATTATTCAGAAAACCTTTTATACTAAAGGATATAACAGTCTTGCTACTATCCTTACACAGGCATGGGGCCAAGCTTTGTTAATATCCTGCCACACCCAGACTCGTTCATAGGATGTCACACTTCCTGGACACACTATTTGCAGGAGAACTTATATGTCACATAGTTGGCAGCAACGCTGGAAAAATC